GGTTCTGTGTGCACGTGTCTGTGACCCATTTGCTCACCCCTGCCTCTCTCGCTGACTGCACGTTTCTCCTCCTGGCTGGTCTTCACCTGACCCCCCCCCCCCCATCCCATACTTTCTATCCTCTGGCCCATTTTCCTTTTCTCCTCCTGAGCAGGGAACTATTGGCTGTGCATCTCCTAAGCTTCTCTTCCCAAAGTCCCACCCCTCCCCCCACCCCGCCGTCCCCTTGGAGATGCAAAGTAAGAAAGCAGAGTGTGTAAGATGAAGACGACACGAAACAGACAGATCCACGGAGACAGAGAGCAGATGGGGGTTCCCAGCAGCCGGAGGAAATAGGGGGTGACTGCTCACAGATTTGGGGTCACCCTGCGGGGGCAGCAGACGAAAATGTTCTGGAACCTCACAGAGATGAGGGTCGTGCGACTTTGTGAACGTGTAAAGCACCACGGCACGGTTCCCTTTGAAATGGTTCCTTTTGTGTTATGTGAATTTCACTGCAATTTTTTAAAAATGAGAAGGAACAGGGGCTTCCCCGGCGGTCCAGTGGTTAAGACTCCGCGCTTCCACTGCAGGCGGCCAGGGTTCGATCCCTGGTCAGGGAACTGACATCACACATGCCACTGGGAGTGGCCAAAAAACAAGTAAAAGTTTTTTTTTTAATGAGGAGGAACAGCCTGCAGGACTTCTGTAAGACGAAATATTCTTTTCTAGTATTTTCCGTAATTTTATAAAAAGAAATATTCTTTTCTCGTACTTTACCTAACTTTCGAAGTTCCTCTGATGCTCTTAAGTTGAAACTACCATTCACGCCCACTCAAGGTAAATCAGATTAAAAGGTGAACACAATTTTCTGGGTATCTACACAGCAAGCAACATTCCCTCCTAAAGGCTTCTGTCAACATCGCCCCCGGGGAGAAGTCATTCACGAAGTGGGAAATCTCCCCAGTGCGGATTCCACCCGCCTCCAGGGCGTGCTGCTCCGGTGATGCTTTGGGAGTCCAGGTGGGAGGGAGAAAAATTAGGGCCGGTTCTGGGGAACCAAGGGTGCATGAGACAATCTTATCAGCAGGGAGGAAAATGAAAGTAAGAGACAACAGTGCAGGTTTAATTACTCACTAAGGAAGGTCTCCTCGGTCTAAAGGAAATACAACTTTCTGACAGTGTGACGTGATAGTAAAAAAATACAAGTGTCAGGCGTGAGTGCGTTTCTGTGGTCAGGGAATGAGCTTTGTGCCTCGATCTCAGGGCTGGTGGCTGCCCAGATGGATGTACAGGATAACACTGCACAAAACCAAACGCATGCCCCCTCCTCACAAGCTCAAACGAGTTCCCATGAAAAGTGGGAGCAGTGATGAAGGCCTGTGGTCTCTTAGCAGGATGGACCCCACGACGGCGCGCATCCTGGTTTTGATATTGTGTGACACCTACAGAAGACGTCACGGGGGAGAACTTCATGAAGGGTGCATGGGACTAGGTGCAGGTTTTGGAATCCCCCGTGCACCTATCATTATTTCAAAACATTTATCTTTAATAGCACCATTGTTCGTGCTCATAGCGAGAAATCAAGCTTGGTTACCTGGACCAGGAATGTGGACCGGGGGCTGCACACCATTCCTTCTGTAACTGGGCCTGTTTTTCAATCTATGAAATCAGTTTGGCCAAGACAGGACCCAAGGTCCCTTCCACGCTCTTTAAAAAATGCCCACGTTGGGGCTTCCCTGGTGGCGCACTGGTTGAGAATCTGCCTGCTAATGCAGGGGACACACGTTCGAGCCCTGGTCTGGGAGGATCCCACATGCCGCGGAGCAACTAGGCCCGTGAGCCACAACTACTGAGCCTGCGCGTCTGGAGCCTGTGCTCCGCAATAAGAGAGGCCGCGATAGTGAGAGGCCCGCGCACCGCGATGAAGAGTGGCCCCCGCTTGCCACAACTAGAGAAAGCCCGCGCACAGAAACGAAGACGCAACACAGCAAAAATAAATGAACAAACTAATAAACTCCTACCCCCAACAACAACAACAAAATGCCCGTGCGATTTTTCACCAACATAAGCTAAGCTTTCTTCCAAGCTGTCTGAATTTGTGGAGGGCTAATCAACCTAGAACACGGACAACTTCCCATAGACAGTTTATCCAGGAGCACAGAATAAGGGCATCTGAGACCTTACTGGTCACTGACTTTCCTCCTTATTCTATCTCCAAGGTGTCATGGCCGCCCCGTGAACTGGGCCGTCCGCTTCCAGCTGGGTCTCGGTATCCTGGTGCCAACCCTCCTTGGGGGGTCCTGCCATCTGAACAGCCACTGCCGGTTTTGCTAAATCATGGAGAAGCACATCTGTGCCCCACCTGCTGCGTTCCACCTGCTCCACCTGCGCTGATCGTCACAACTGTCCTTGGGGGATTGTGAGTCAGCAATTCTGTCCCACAGGCGCCTCCCCCGGGGGCCCAGCTCACAGGCAAAAGAAAAGGATGAAAAAAACGCCTGTTGGTGAGAAAAAGAAGAGCTCACACACCAGAGTGGAGATCAGACCAGGTGAAAATGCACAGCTGCGTGAGGCCGGAACTTCAGAACTTCAGGGTGGAGGACAAGCCCAGCCGGCCCGGTCCTTCCACCCTGACTCATTCTGGAAGGTTCCAAGGGCGTGGGGATTGTGGTTATGTTAAGAAAGGCTGAGAGGTTTGTCAGGGTGGTTTTTTTTTTGTCTTCTGTTTTGTGTGTGGGTTCGTTTCAAGTTGTGGAAGACAGCCTTGCTCAGCTGGAGAAATGCATACAGATGGCCTCAGACGATTCAGAGCCACTGGGGGTGCCTGTGTGCGATGGGAGACAGTTAGGGAAGGGTCTGGGGCAGTCAAAAGGGAACTTAAGTTTCCTGGGCCCGAAGCTTAGGAGGAAGCGGTACCATGCTGGCAACTGCGTTCTAACTGTGGGTAAAGAGCCCAACATAGCCCCTCACTCTTGTCCACGACACCTCATAGTCTAACGTTACTGGAAACTCTAACACCTCTGATGGGTTTGGGATTTTTTAAAAGCTTATTCTTACTTTCTTAGATTAACCGTGTGCAGATAAATCTGGAATATTAAAGGAAGTTCTGGCAAAAGGTGATTTTAAAAAGCCACCAAAACTGCAAAGCCACACACACACACACACACATCCCTGGGTCCCAGGCCCCTGCTGGTCCAACATCCTGAACACGTGTGACCTGGCTCTCCCTTCACACCCTTGGAACCCACAGGAAGTTATCCTTGAAGAGCAAGTATCTTCTTCATTAAGAAAGGGAAAGACAACTGGAGAGCTCATTCCCCCCCCCCCCGGCCCTGCTCGGTCCCCAGAGGCAGTGACTTTCTAGTTTTAGGGACAAGATGACTCACTGGGCACCCTATGCCCACTAGGCAGCGCCCAAAAGGCCCCCAGGCAGCTGCAGACACCGGGCCATGCCACGTCCGCAGCCCACCCACCAGCCCACGCCCCGCCTGATGCCCTGGCACCTTTCACAATAGACTTGCTTAAGTGCCCAAAACAGATCCAGTTGCCAGCGCTGTGTGCCAAGGGCCGCCGGGTCCTCCACCAACTTTCCATTGTTGAATTGTGTTTCCACCTACCGGTGTGACTGCACTGGTCTAGGTTTCTATCCTCGTCTCCTACCCTGCAAAACACAGCCAGCTTTTAAAGCAGCCCTGCAGAGCGCCCCAGAGGGAGGGAGGGAGGGAGAGACAGAGAAAAAGAAAGGGAAAGGGATAGAAGATGGAGAAGATGAGACAGAGAGACACACAGAGAGAGAGAAAAACAGGAAAGGGAGGGAGAGATGGACAGAGAGAGAGAGAGAAGATGAAGGAGGAGATGGACAAGAAGGCTTGGAGGGAGAGGAGGAGAGAAACAGGAGAGAGGGAGGGTGCCTCCTGTCCCCTCCGTCCCAAACGAGGCTTCCTGGGCACTCCTTCCTCACAGCCAACTACATACGGGCAAAAGGCTACTGACGGAAAAGGGAAGGTTTCAAGGCCACTCTGAGTGGTTTTAATGCCACTCTGGCTGTGCCCCTTGGTCATATGAAACCCCAAGCCATGCCCTTGAGGCCAATGCTTCCTCCCTTCCAAGAGAGGGTGGGTAAGGGCCCGAAGAAGTACCTGGGTACCCCTACTCCAGAGTCATTTACGGTATGTGCCCCCTTCCCCATTGATTCTTTCCTGACAGGTTGGGACAACTCCCTTGGCAACAAAGGGTTGCTAAGAAGCCACAGGCTGGCTTGAGCCCACAGCCTGAAGGCAGCGTCCTTGCGGAGTTGGGATATTCTGACCCACTCAGGGCGGGCTCCATACACCAACACGTTTTGGGATCCAGGCACTCATGGGACTGGAGACTTCACGTTTCCAGCTGCCTAGGAGTGGTCAGGTTCAAAGGAGGACGACAAAAAGGAAATCAGTGCCGGATAAAAGAATTGCCCAGTCCCGGATACACAGACGGAAAATACGGCAGGATAAGGAAATGCGTAATTCACCCCCAACGCCGCCCCGCGCCCCTAAAACGCCACGGGACACCTGACCTCCCAGTTCCAGATACGCTCTCAAGTCCAGGCGGGAGCATCCTGACGCGGGGGAGAGGGGGAGCCTGGCCAAGGTGAGGTCTGCAAGGGTCTCCGCGGCCGCCGCCGCCCTCAATGGGACGTGACCCCAGCAAGTTCTGTGACGTCGGGGGGGCCCAGACACCGGGGAGGTTGCTGGGGGGCGGGCGGGAAGGTCTAAAACAGGAGACTTTGGAGGTGCGGGGCAGAGCGCCCGCAGGTGGGGAGGCTCTCGGGGACCGGAAGGAAGCCCTCCAAGTCTCGGGGCGTTCGGCGGACCCAGGGCGCACGGGGAGCCCCGCGCGGAGATCCCGAGCAGGCGGGGCCAGGCAGGGCCCTCCCCGGGCGGCGGCCGGGCGACCGCACACAAGCCTTTTGTCTGACGCCGGCTTCCCGGGCGGCGCCGAGCGCCCCAGCGGGCCGGGTCCCCGCGCGTCGCACTCACCCACGGTGGCCAGCGTGTCGAAGTCCTGCGGGCGGTAGGCGGGCGGCTCCGGCGAGGGCGCCCCGGGGCCGGGGAAGTGCGCGGGCGCGCCGTCGGGGGTCTCCCCCGAGCTCTCTCGGGCGTCGGCGTCCGCCGCGGCCGCCTTGGCCAGCCCGGGCGCCTCCATGGGGGCGCGCTCAGGTCCGGGGCGCCGGGCCGGGCCGGGGGGCGCGGGGGGCCGGGCTTCCCGGGACGCAGCCTCGGAGGGCGGCGCGGCGGCGGCGGCGGCGGCGGCGGCATCAGCGGCGTCCACCCATGCGCGGCCCCCGCCTCCCGGTCGGCGGCCGGGCGCAGCTGGCGGCGCGGCGGGGACAATGGCTGGACGCGGGGCGGCGCTCAGGGCAGGAGCGGCGGCGGCAGCCGGTGGGAGTAGCCAGCAGCCTCTGAGGGCGGGCGCGGCGTGGCCTGGGCGGGGGGCGCGGCCCTGGCGGGTGGGCGCGAGGCGGGGTCCTGGCCGCGGCCGCCCGGCCGCCTGTTCATTCCTCTCGTCCCGCGCCCGCCGCCGCCGCGCGGGCGCTGCGTGCGCGCTGCTGGGGGGCCGGGCGGAAGCGGCCTGGGCGGGGCCGCGCGCTCCCTCCGCCCGCCCGGGCGCCGGCCCAGACTCAGCCCGCCCGGCTGGGGGTGTGGCCGCCGCGCCCCGCCCCCGCCGCGCCCCGCCCCCGCCGTGCCCCAGCCCTGGGAGCTCAGGGCCCGGGCGCCAGGAGCCTCTCCCGCCATTCTGGGGCTGGCGCGGGCGCGGGCGGTGAGGTTGCTCGCGCGGCCTCCGCGCCCCGGGGCGCCCCAGGGATGGGGTCTCGGCCGAGCTCCCCCGGGAGACGCGCGGGCCTTTTCCCGCGCCCCCTGCGCCCCAGCCCGGAAGGCTGGGGGAAGGCGGGACCGGCTGGGGAGCGGGAGGGCGTGGCTTAAAGAAAAGTAAAGTTAAAAAATAAAGCTGGAGTTGGATGCGGATGGAGCGCGCTCCGCCGACCGCGCGGTGCCCGCGAGTCCCGGCGGGCGGCCGCCACGTGTGGCGAATAACCATCGGGACCAAGGCCGCTCCCAGCCCTGGCTTGTTGGACTGCAGTCATGTAAGATACGCACCATGGTGGAGGCGCGGAGCCGCGCTCCCGGAGCGTTTCTTGACAGCTTCCGATAAATCTTTATTTCTAAAGAACCATTTTTTTAAATACTAAGAAGCAGGTAACAATCAGACAACTACCAAATGCGGCGCATGCAACTTGACGGGCAGCTGGTGTAAACACACCAGGGACGATTTCGGAAAAGAAACGCAGGACGGTCACAGACAACTACACAACGATAGCGTTAGGTTTCTCCTAATGGGAAGTGTGTCCCAGGCCATCTTTGGTTATAGTTATACCCCCAAAATGTCGGGGCTGTATCTGAAATGCAAATGTAACTAGACGGATGCGGCCACTGTTTTTCCGGGGATCTGGTTAAAGTGCTCCTTGGACCACAGCGGGCCGGGCAAGGAACGCCTGGAATCGGTCTTTCAGACCAGCCCCCAGGGCTATCCGGGCCGCAGGTCCGCGGACCACAGTTTGAGCAGCGAGAGGTCACCGAGCCTGCCCTATTGTTTGGCGGGATTCCAGCGATTGCGCCCTTGAAAGGGAGGGTCCTGCCCCTGAGTCCTCGAGTCGGCGTGGGGACGGTCTGTCGCAGAGGCCAGAACTACAGAAGGGAGGCGTTTTACGGGGGACCAGGCCGGGCCTGCCTCGCTTGGCCAACTGGGAGGGGGTGACAGGAAATCAGAACCGGCTCTGGGTGTGGTGCTCTGGCCCCCGGCTGCCAGCCGCGCCCCTGCCCTCCTCTGCACACTGTGGGTGGCTTTTTCCCCGGGCGAGACGCCTGCTCTCTGCTGGTTGCCAGATCTTGAGCTGGAATGCGAAAAATGCGCTCCAGGAGCGGGCCGCGTGCGCCCCAGCGGCTGCTTAGACAAGGACTGGTCCCCCGCGCTCAGGCCACCAGGCCGTGCCCCGCGGAGGAGCGACCGGGACGGTCCACGCCGGGCAAGGGCGCGACTCCACGCGGAGCGCGCGCCCGCTCCCCGCGGACGCGACCTTGTGACTGCGGTCGGGCTGGCTAATTAAGGTCGATGGTCAAGGCTAGGGTTTCACGCCCAGTGAAAGGCACGCCTTGCCCTTCTAATGGCAGCCGAGGAGGAAAAAGTAACAGAGGCGCTTGCAGAGTTAAACTCTGGGTGGCGGAGTGGATCTGACCCTTCCTCGCCCGCCCGGAGTTTGACCGCATACCTACCTGTTCCTATAAATATCCCGGCGGGTTTCACAACACCTTGATGAACAAAGCCGCTTTCATCTGGAAGGCTCATAAAAATTCTTCAGAAACCACAGCATATTTCTTGAAAGGCAAAAAAGATAAAAAGCCCTGCAAGCGAGGCATTACAGGGGCATTTGTACCGCCTTTGTGATGAGCATTCGGTGGTGATGGGGCAGGGAAATACCGAACTCTGTAACCCAGCGGACTAAACGCTCCCCGTACGCAGAATGAGCTCTAAAGTCAACGCCGAAACAGGTGTAGGCGGTGTTGAATGAGGGAGAGAGAAAAAGGGTGGTCCGTGAGGGCAGCTGGACACTTCTTTTGGAATTGCATGTATTTGTAAATGTGTATGTCTATAAGTAGATAGGTAGATATGTGTGCGTGTGTATACTGAGTTAAAATAAAAAGCGTACAGTTGCCTTCACAAAGTTTACAATCTCTCTATATTATTATATATATTACATTCCAATGTGTTCTGATATATATTCTAAAGTAAGTGTTTACCAGCCTTCAGACTTAAGAATTTATATGTGTATAATAGATATTAAATATCACATATTATATTCCAAGCTATTCTGTGATACATGTTTTACAGTATATATTCTATTTGATTATGTTCTAATATATATATTCCAAAAGAAGTGTTCAGCTGCCCTCACAGACTTTATATATATTAGATATTATTATATCACATATATTCTATTCTGAATATATATTCTAATATGTTTTATATGTTCTAATATATATATTCCAAGAGGTTTTCAGCTGCCCTCACAAACTTTACAGTTTTTATGTATATAATATTAGATACTATTTATACCCCATATATTCTAATCTATTCTGAGATATATATTCTAATGTTTTATTATATGTTCTAATATATATATTCCAAAAGAAGTTTTCAGCTGCCTTCAGACGCTACAATTTATATATAATATTAGGTATTATTTATGTGATATTACTACATTCTAATATATTCTGGAATATACATTCTAATATATTTTATTATATATTCTGATTCAGAGAAGCGTTCAGTTACAGGAATACGGTTTCTGATTTCCGCGGTTAGACTTTACTGTCATTCAGATGAAGCCGTGGTTTACTAGGAATAGCCTAGGTCATGTCTCACGCTCACTGATTTTTTTCCTATTTCTCAGGTGAGCTGTTGCATAGCCACGTAGGGGGGTTTTGTGCTTTCATTCGGCACCAGTGAATGTTTTCCTGGCAAGGAGTGATTCAAGTATTTCTAAGCGCTCACTTTTAGCAGGTTTGCAACCCTCTGCTTCTTCTTTTTCCCTTGTCCGGACGGCCCTGTGGTGGGTTTGCGTTGGTTTAACGTGCTAGAAATTCACGATAACCTAGTTAGTTGGCTACGTTCTATTACAATCCTGGGCACTTCTGCCTCCACGGATGGACTGCTGCTGTCATGATGAGTCACAGGTGATGGTACTTATTTTATCACTATGATCAGTACACCCACAGTCTCAGAGGCCTGCCCCGGTGGGAGCCCAGCTGAATCCCCACCACTCACAAAGCGTCTCCACGCACCCCAAAGGCTGCATTTTGGCGCCTGGCTCTCTAGAGATATTTTATGCAAAGCGGACCCCCTTTTCCAACAGCTTCAACTTCACTTGTTCAATTAAGTGTTTGACCCAACATACGTGGATAAGTTTTGACCTAGCAATGGCCTTCCTGCTGATGGAAATGAAGTTTTCACCATGGAGATGTCACACACACTGCCCTGGATAGGGAGGTCATGAAGTCCAAATGGGCTGAGAGCAATGAACTCATCCAAGGTAGAATCCTGGAATGGTTAAATATGTGCACATTTGGGTAAAATCAAGCAATCCACCATCACTAAAATAAAACAAAACCCTAAGCCACCCTCTCTACAAACGGAAGTTTAAAAATCTGAAAAAGTACAAGGACATTTGACTGTCACACTGCTCTTATTCATGTATGGAGCTCCAACGTCTATGAATAATGGTTTTGTTTTGTTTTTGTTTTTTGCGGTACACGGGCCTCTCACTGTTGTGGCCTCTCCCGTTGCGGAGCACAGGCTCCGGACGCGCAGGCTCAGCGGCCATGCCTCACGGGCCCAGCCGCTCCGCGGCATGTGGGATCCTCCCGGACCGGGGCACGAACCCGCGGTCCCCTGCATCGGCAGGCGGACTCTCATCCACTGCGCCACCAGGGAAGGCCTGAATAATGTTTTTATACGTGCCTATTTACTCGGAGGCTTTTCTTGAGAGATTTCAAAGGAAACTGTAGAGGAACGTGTTGAGAATAGACACATTGCCTGGGATAGACCAGCCTATAATTAGAAGATGGTGCATTTACTCATCACCGAAGATATGCAGGAAAGTTTTTACTTGTCAGATGCTGAAGAGATTCATGGAAAATCTAAGCTGTGATGCTGGAGGAACACAGGTGGGTCATGCTTCCCGAAACGTGAATACATATGGCGGATAGAAGCATCCTTCATCCAAAAGAGAAGTTAACGTTCGATGCCCCTGTGGCTGCTGTGTAACTGGACTTCTGAACTTGAACTTTAGAAGTCACATTTTACCCAAGGAATCATAGTGATGATTAGAAAGCAAAGATGATTAGGAAGTAAATATGATGACTTAAGAGAGATTTCACCAAGGGCATGGATCATTCTGTTCCATCTTATGTTAACGCAGTTTCCTTTCCCTACCTAAAATCTCAAGTTGTGAAAATGAATGAGCGGGGTGGCCCCCATGAACCACGGTGACCTGCATCCTAGAATCCACAAACCAGACCTTGTCACTTGGGTCAGGCTGTCCTTTTAGCTCATGTGCTAGTGTCTGGAGCTTTCCATGAATTCCAAGTAGCACAAAGGAACATGAGAAAAATTATATCTAATCAAGTCATATATGTCTCTAGACATTATAAATAATATTCTAGTACCAACT